TTGTCCTTAGTAAAGATGAACAAAATTTAAAGTCTAATTAATTTTCTAACACAAAATCTTAATTTTCACTTATTATCATTATCCCTACCCAGACTGGGCCCCGCGCAATTCGTGGAGCCCCTATAGATCGCAAGGTCTCAAAGGGAACTTTACTTTTTTTTTTACTTTTAATGAAATAATACTTACAAATTTGAACTACAGTATCAGACTTTTAGCAAATTAAGAACAGATACATTAAGAGTAAATTAATAATAATAATAATAGGCGATCGGAAATGACTTTCTAAATAAGAACGTATGCATGTTAGTCTATTTTTTTTATTACGCTTTACATTCTGTTATGGAAAATATGCGTGATTCTGATTTAATTTTGATGAAAGTAGAGCGGATGGTTTTGGTTGCATAGGCTGAAGAGTCTCTAATGAAACCTCGGATGGTCTGGCGTAATTCAAGTTGAAGAAAGAGGAGACTTTCAAGAGACGTGAGACAGAAGGGACGTATATTTTCTAAGTGAGTTAGATCCCTTTGTTTAAATTATTTCATTTGTATTTCTACATACTTAAATTCTAATTTCAAGTTGAATCTGTGTATAGTTATAAATAAAATTTAGGTTTAGTTTTGATATCAAAGAAGTCTGTCGTAAGTTTGTTTCAAGTTCTACATTGGTTTGGTTGTACTAGCTGATTGAAGCTACAAAACTACAACTGAATATTAACTCTTTATCACCTACCCGTCTAAAACGAAAGTAAAAAAATAAAAATCAAGTATTTGATGTAAAAAATTAAAAGTCAATAATTCAACTTGTAAAGCTTCCAAAAAAAGGGCAACTTGGCAGACTGCAACAACTGGAGGGGCATTACTCTCCTCTCTGTCCCGGGCACTGTTGTGCTGAGACGGCTTCAACAGTCTGTAGATGAAAGGCTCAGAGAAGAACAAGCAGGCTTCCGAAGAGGCAGATCATGGACAGAGCAGATTTTCGTTCTACGAAATATCATAGAACAAAGTCTTGAGTACCAACAACGGCTAACGATCAGTTTCGTGGACTTCAAAAAAGCGTTTGATAGTGTCCACCGAGAATCACTATGGAAAATAGAGAATACGGTATCCCAGAAAAATTTATCCAGATCAGTCAGTCTAGTTCAGTGGTTCCCAAACGTTTTTGTCTCGTAGACCCCTTGCCATGTTTTTTGGTTTTCAGTAGACCCCCTACTTAGTTTGTATTGAATTTTGCAAATTCATCAAAAAATGTTTAAAACAAATTTCTAACTGTCGTGAGTTAAAGTGTGAAAAACTTAATTTAAAGTTACACATTAAGTATGATTATGCTATAGAGATCTAATTATTTTTGATTGAGGCAGACTAAATTCAACCTAATTAAAATAACAGTTTATATTTATTACTGGAATCACCTAACACACTGGAAATGTTTGTTTTTGTTTGCACATGCATTATCCGTTGCTACGGATTAATGTTTCATATATAGGATGTTGTTCTATGAAGTAGTCTTCAAACATTAAATATTAATCAATCAATTTATTAATTAGCCTTATGTATCATTGTAAAAAGTTTTCGCAAAGTGCGGTTTCTCGTGTATGTCTTGATCTTTCACGTTTGGAACTGCCTTCACTAACAGGGGAGGGGTTAAGGTGAGTACTTAGTGAGCACCTAAGCCAGTCAGCTTTCGGCAGGAAGGGCTCATTAGCCTAGGCTTGCAGCCTACCTAGCAGAAGGAAAACAGAATTCAAACTGTGCTGCCTTGCAGCTATACCCGAACATGGGAAAGGTTTCGTGGGTCAAACCCTGTTAAAAATAAGGATCCGGCGACCCTTAGGCAGTTTGCAGTACACAGCGCAACACCCTGTCAGAGCCTGCGACGACGCTAACCCCAAACTGTATATATGTCGTTTGCAAAGAATTACATAAGAAGCTTTTAATGAACTGTATTGTTACTTAAAGAAATTTGATTAATAATATCAGATGTAGGCTTGTGTAAAACAGTTTTTAAAACTACAACGGCTGGTAAAATCAATGTTTTACCTATAGTATTTTCCGTATTTTGCTATAAGTAAAGAGATATTGTAAGACTCTCACAAACCGTTATCTTCTCTATATGATGTGTAAGAGAGATTTTTTGGGTCTATTCTGAACTTAGAGTGTTCGAAAGTTTAAAAAAATCTTTTTCTTTTTTGTCAGGGTGGTATTGTCTCAAATGATCCTTCAGTGTATTGGTTTCATATCGTTTTAAAAAAGGCACTTAGGCAACCGCTTGTTTGACAAGAAAAGAATAAATCCCAATTTTAAATAATCAACGCTGTTCAGTCTACATTCTTATTGTTAAACATAAGTTACATGTAGACAAAATGAAGCTATTTAAATAAGTATTGAAATTAGATACAACAATTTTTCGTTTGAATAGAAGGATAAATATTTAAAGGATTAACTCGGGCTCAAATCATATATTAGTGTAAGAATTACAATAATTTAATGTTAAGTTAAAGTCACGACATGTTTAAATGAACTCTATTATCGTAGACCCCTGTGGACATCTCATAGACCCCCAATTTAAGTTTTCCCTTTCGTAGACCCCTTGGAAGTCTTCGTAGACCCCTGGGGGTCTATATAGACCACTTTGGGAATCACTGGTCTAGCTGCTTCATTAAAACAGGAGAGGGAACAACAGAGTTTTTTACAATCGAGACAGGGGTACATCTTATTTCTCTTCCTTTTCCTCCTAGCCATCGACTACATAATGAGGAGAGCAATGAACCAGACTGCCTTTGGTATTCCATGGCATGAACAACTCCGATTGACGGACTTGGACTTTGCTGATGATGTTGCACTACTCGGGGCTACAAATAAATGCATTCAAGAAATGACGGAGAGCCTAGACAGAGAGGCACCCAAAATTGGCCTCCGCATAAACTTGGATAAGACTAAAATTATGCGAGTGGGATATAAGTCAAAGGGTGTCCCCGTCAGACTTGGCGAGTCAAAGCTTGAAGAGCTGGACAAGTTCACGTACCTTGGCAGCATCATAACAAATGATGGAGATGCTTACCATGATGTAGCGTGCCGAATAGGAAAGGCAGGGAGCATTTTCCAAAGGCTGCAGCCTATTTGGACTAGCCAAGCCATTGGACTCGAGACAAAAATACACCTTCTCAACACAATCGTCATTCCAACTGCTACATATGCATGTGAGACATGAAAGTCATCTGTCAAAATTGAGAAAAGACTAAATGTGGCTCAACAGAGATGGCTGAGACGGATTTTGGGTGTCAGTTACACAGATCGGGTCTCAAATAGGGAAATCCCATGCCGAACTGGGAGTCGAACACTTAGTGAGGTTGTGACTGAGCGTCGCATGAGGTTTGCGGGACATGTTCTACGTCAAAATGAATTACGCACACCAAGAGTTGCGATAACATGGAAGCCAAAACGAGGAAAGCGCAAACAGGGACGTCCTCGTATTACGACACACCTTCATGGAGGACCTCAGAACAGTGGACACCAGGTGGGAGGAGGCTTCAGACATTGCCAGTGACAGATCTTTATGGAGACAGCTTGCCGCCCAATGCGCCGAACGGCGTGGGAGGACCTAAGTTCTAAGTCTAAGTAATTCAACTGTACCCCTTTTGAAAACTACATACTTTTTTCTCAGTGATAGAAACACAAGTAAGCCAAATTTGATTAGTTCTTCAAAAGCCAAGAGTCACCGGAAAATATTAAAAAGGAATGGCCGTATTTTTACAGATAGGTTTTAAAAAAAACAAAAAAAAAAACAACAGTTACCAGCACAGACACTTGATAAGATTGAATAAGAAAGTACGAAAAATTTATATAAAACATTTTTATTGCTCAAACAATCGAAATTATTTGAAGTACAAAATAAATATCAAGTACATTTTTTTTTTCAAATACAAATTTACATTTCTGAGTTGTCAACATTTAAAACATGTTTTAAAATAAAATAAAATTTTAAGTACAATTTGATGACCAAAAAAAAAAGTTCAATTTCTTTTAGGATGTTGTTTAAAAATAAACATGATTTTGGAGGGTATTGTTCTTTTATGTGGTATTGTATTGAGCCTAATAAATATAACTATAAACACACAAGCTTTCCGCCCAATTAGTGGATTTCATAAATCATTTGATTTTCTCTATTTAGTTTCAGGAGGTTTGGTCTTAGAGCATAACCGTGCCAAGATCTTCAGACATTACATTAGTTACTTTCTTTCATTTCCACAGATGAGTTTATGCCTCTTCCTCTCCTTCCTCCTCTTCGAATTCTCCCTCCTCCTCGGCTGTGGCATCCTGGTATTGCTGGTACTCTGAGACCAAGTCGTTCATGTTGGACTCGGCTTCAGTGAATTCCATCTCGTCCATGCCCTCACCAGTGTACCAGTGGAGGAAAGCCTTACGACGGAACATGGCGGTGAACTGCTCGGAGACTCTCTTGAACAGCTCCTGGATGGCAGTGCTGTTTCCGATGAAGGTTGAGCTCATCTGTGAAGACAGACAAAGCATTATGTAGAGGAAGTATTTAAAATTTACGTTGTCACTAGAGGACAAGAGACTTAACATTGCGTATTAGGTCGTAGTAGATGAAGACAATTCGTTGTTTTGGCTTGTTAGCGTTATTAAATTCAGTTTATATGTACTAACAGACACAAGCATCAATGTCAGTGATGCAACACATTCAAACTAAAATGTCTAAATCATAAAACTTGCTTCAATCATTCTATACTTTGTCTTCTGAAGGTCAGAATAATGCAGACGAGAAAAAAAGATGGAACAGAAAGTGAACGGGAACAAACGAATTAATCTCTCATTTATTAGCAGAAAAGTGTTCTTTTAAACGATTTTAAATTCACTTCAAAAGTCCTGTGTCTATTCCTATTGAATAATACCTAATATGTATCAACATTTAAAACATAGACTTTACAACCTCTGGAAACAACTAAAAGGAAGTGAGATGTAAAAGAAAAAAGGGGCGGGGGGGTGGTCAGAAAATTCTTTTGTTTTGTTAAGTCAGTATCTTAAGTTCTCTACCCCCTCCAATTTTTTTTAAAATAAATATTTTCAATGGCATAACTCTATACTATAAACTTCTTTTATGCTATGCATACAGTTAGTTTGTCTACAAGTAAGAACGTCATACAAATACCTATTCAATTCTTTATATCTTATCTTACATTATACAGACGTTACTTCAAAAAAAGAAGATGATTACATCCTGCGCGTGTTCTAGATCAATATAGCCATGCATGTTAACTAATTACTTAAATTCTGCTAAGTCATTGGTTTTCCTGGCTGCTCTAATAGCACTAGGGAAAAGGGAGCATTTGCACAAATTTGTCCTAGCATATGTAACAAGGAATGTGCCATTATCTTTGTGTCTCTCTGGGTAACTTATTAGGTTTTGTTTTTGTATTTGAAGTACAGACATAAGCTCCTAACCATTTCCCATGACTTACCTTAAGACCACGTGGTGGGATGTCGCAGACGGCTGTCTTGACATTGTTGGGGATCCATTCCACAAAGTAGGAGGAGTTCTTGTTCTGGACGTTCAACATCTGCTCATCCACCTCCTTCATGGACATGCGACCTCTGAAGATGGCGGCCACGGTGAGGTAGCGGCCGTGACGTGGGTCACAAGCAGCCATCATGTTCTTGGCGTCGAACATCTGCTGGGTCAGCTCGGGGACGGTCAGGGCCCTGTACTGTTGGCTGCCTCTGGATGTGAGGGGAGCGAACCCTGGCATGAAGAAGTGGAGACGGGGGAAAGGCACCATGTTGACTGCCAGCTTTCTCAAGTCAGCGTTCAACTGGCCGGGGAACCTGAGGCAGGTGGTCACGCCAGACATGGTGGCGCTGACGAGGTGGTTGAGGTCACCGTAGGTGGGGGTGGTCAGCTTGAGGGTACGGAAGCAGATGTCATACAGGGCTTCATTGTCAATGCAGTATGTCTCATCTGTGTTCTCTACAAGCTGGTGGACTGAGAGGGTAGCGTTGTAGGGCTCAACGACTGTGTCTGATACCTACAGAGAGAGAGAGAGAGAAACTAAACTGTTTAGGACTTTGGACTCAACATATCCTCACAAAGGTTCATAAGCTTATCTTTCTTGATAAATAACAACTCTTTACAAAACACAAATGAAAACCATCTTATGCAACATGTTTAATGTATAATTCATTATTGTTAATGAGATTTTGATTAGTTTTAATAGAACACATAACTTAATTGAAACTATTTAGGTAAGTATAATTTGAATATGACTTACTTTGGGGGATGGGACAACGGAGAAGGTGTTCATGATTCTGTCTGGGTATTCCTCACGGATTTTGCTGATGAGGAGTGTTCCCATGCCTGACCCAGTGCCACCACCGAGTGAGTGTGTGAGTTGGAATCCTGAAACACATGCAAAACTCTTTAAAATCAAATTTTCATTGAAAACAACACACATCTTATTCACATTGTTGTGTGTGTTGTTTGCTTATGTATTTGGGATATTTAGGCAGTATGTGTGTAATTAACCAGTCTTTCTTTTCAATGTGTGCAATTATGTGTATCTATAGGCCCTATTTATCATTGGGTTGTTAATATCCTACTTTCTGGCTTGCTAACGTGTAAATGTAACCCTTTTATTGCGTGAGAGTGTAGATTTTATCTATCCGAATTCCTATATTTTTATTCTGTACGCTTCTTTTGGTTTGTGTTTGTTTGAATAAACTCTGCACGAAGGGAATGTTAACAATGCCTTACCCTGAAGACAATCGCATCCTTCAGCCTCCTTTCTGACGACATCAAGGACTGAGTCGACCAATTCAGCCCCCTCTGTGTAGTGACCTTTGGCCCAGTTGTTGCCAGCACCTGACTGCCCAAAGACGAAGTTGTCTGGGCGGAAGATCTGTCCGAAGGGTCCAGATCGGACACTGTCCATGGTGCCAGGTTCGAGGTCCACCAAGACTGCACGGGGCACGTATTTGCCACCTGTGGCCTCATTGTAGTACACGTTGATTCTCTCAAGTTGGAGGTCACTGTCACCATGGTATGTGCCGGTTGGGTCAATGCCGTGTTCGTCGGAGATTACCTCCCAGAACTAAGAAGCAGACGTGAATAAAATCAAGTCATTTTTTTTTCAAAATTAAGAACCAAAACTCTTGCATGTAGATAATCAATTAAAATAAATTAGTATAACCACCCTTAGCCAACATTAGTTTTTATTTCTATAACATCTAATGTTACCTCTGCCAGTCAATAGAATGTTTTCCAAAAGTTTTATTTAGAAATATTTGTATAAAAATCAGAAACAGTAAGTTTGAAATATAAAAAACAAAACATAAACTTGACATGCTCGTAGGCCTTCAGTCTTTAGCAACCTTGAGTGTCATATAGGTATATAAATGACAAAAAGGGGCTTTAGCCCTTAGCAACCTTGAGTGTCATATAAGTATATAGATGACACACAAAGGGACTTTAGTCCTTAGCAACCTTGAGTGTCATGTAGGTATATAAATGACACACAAATGGGCTTTAGCCCTTAGCAACCTTGAGTGTCATATAGGTATATAGATGACACACAAAGGGGTTTTTATCCTTAGCAACCTTAAGTGTCATATAGGTATATAGATGACACACAAAGGGGTTTTTATCCTTAGCAACCTTGAGTGTCATATAGGTATATAGATGACACACAAAGGGGTTTTTATCCTTAGCAACCTTAAGTGTCATATAGGTATATAGATGACACACAAAGGGGTTTTTATCCTTAGCAACCTTGAGTGTCATATAGGTATATAGATGATACACAAAGGGGCTTTAGTCCTTAGCAACCATTGGTTTAAATTACAAAAACAACAACATCATAACATTTAGAAGAAACAATATAAAAATGTTTTAATGTTTGATTTACTTTTCAAAAACAAGCATTCGACTTTGTAGTCTGTCACTTAGTAACCATATGTAATAAGCCCTTAGCAATCATCACCGCATATGTTTATTTACCCATAGCAACCAGTAGTTTACACGAAGAAAATATCATCTCAAGTTTTAATATACATACAAATAGTTTAAAACTAATTAATGACTTTGTATTCTTCTTGGTGATTGGTGAAGAAGGAGTCGAACTAGACTTATATATATATTTTTTGGTCTTATATGGATGAGAGTGAAATGTTTATAACAGATCTTATAATTTAGGAAAATGAAGTCTCAGAACTAACGCTGCTGTAGATCTGAGATAGGCCTATCCCTGCTAAGAGTTTGGGGTGGGAAAACCATCTAATCGAATATCAAACTCCGTTTTATTTCGCAAAGAAAGTCACAGTCAATCTGTGACACGCGTATTCATACAATACGTGTGTTCGTGTCAGTCTAGATCTAGATGTAGCCGTAAAACTTAAACCCACTGCACACAACGGCTAAGATCGAAGTGAGGAAAAAAAATGTCTGACTCACACACCGTTGCTAGGCAAAGGCTACAGGTACGGACATGTTACCGGTGGCAGTATCGATTCAAACTTAGTCACACATCGCCACAACAAAGCAATCGAACCCCATAATTAACACTAAAAAATCTACGTATTAAATAAATCTACCAAGATAGACGTACTGTATTTATGAACTAGTTATTCTCAATTAAGATCTACGGTACTTTTAAAGGTCTACTTAAGTCACAATAAAATATACCTGTTCGATAAGAAAGGTAATAGATTTATTTCTATGTCACATAGGCTACTCTTTTATGCTGTAGATTTAAAATATTAAAAAATACACAAGCTAAATATATATAGCCTTACCTTGGCACCGATCTGGTTACCACATTGTCCAGCCTGAAGATGTACGATCTCACGCATTTTGATATAATGGATTTAATGTAAAGGCTGGTATGTAAAAAAAATGTCTGTCGTTTCGATCTAAGTAAGACCACCTGAAACTAACACGGTCAGTTCCAGCATACCCTTATATACGCCGTACCCAGTATGCACCGCGACGTAGGCCCACGACGCGGTTACTGTGGGTGACGGATTGTCAACAGGACCCAACTAAGAAAGCTGACTGGCGCGAATCTTTTGTTGTTGGATACTGTGTTGTCGTTAGGGCAGGCCGTTTGACTCGACACAGCCAGTGGTTTTGTGTGGCGTGCTTTTTTTAGACACATTCGCCTGGCCGATGGCTGGATTTGAACACGAGTCTCTTGAATAAATAAATAGATTGGGCGTTTTATTGTTTGCGTTTGAATGAGTGTAGATCTATTATTTCCTTCAGCGCTACAATAAAAGAAAAAAACCAACTGACATTGACAAAACAACACAAACCAATAGTCTAAATGTTTAAATCAGCAGTTTTACAAGTTAGGATAATTTCAAAAGCGAATGATTTAATATTTTATTTTAAAAAGAATACGAACACTGTCCGCTATTTATAGGCATCAGTAATGCCCTGCCATATCTGCATAGCTTTTCAAAATCTTTATATTATATGAACCTAGATGCTGCCAATTAGATTTCTGTTTTCAATGGTGATCACCCTGGAATGCCTAACTCGTTGAATGAAACAAACCAAGTCTGAAACATCTAAAAGAAAAAAAACCTTTTGCTGAATCTCGTTTCACTTATTGCCTTCATTATATCAAGAATTTCTGCTGCACAACAAAAATGTACTGGTTGACCGTTAGGGACCTTTGGTGAGCCTTGATGAATAACAAACAAATATTCACAATTGACAACAGTGACACCATTTCAGGACACCAGAGACGAGAAAACAAACAAGCAAAGAAACAAAAAAAAGATTTTTTAAAATAAAAATCTTATATAAGTAAAAGAACCGCTTATTACTGCCATACATCTGAAAATGGCAGGGTTTTGCTCCCTTTCTGCAATATAAATACATACAATTAATTAATTCTAATTAATTAACTAATTGTTGGTTTTTTTTTATTGATTCGTGTATTCTCATCGACTAGGAATAATTGTGCAAAATTTCAACTTGATCCGAGAATGGGAAGTGAGAGAAATAACGTGTCCAATGTGATAATTCTAACCTTTCTTTTAAGTTCCTCATGGAACATAGGGCCTCAGTAAAACACGCAACTCTCCACGGTCTCTTGTTAGTTTTTTAATGGCTTCCCAGCTCTCTCATGTCCTCTCGGCGTCAAAATGTAACAAGGGGATTAAATTCATATATACACCCACATCTCTCATTAAGCAGCATTTATTCCCCTTATTTCG